TTCAGATTATAAGTTATGAAATTAAATTTAAAAAATGGTGTAGGTCCTGGAATGGTGTAATGGGGTCGTACGTCCTGAAACAAAATTAATTAATATACTTCATATTTTCATATTTTCATATTTATATTATATTATGGATTGAATTATTAAAATCATACTGTACCCTATTAATTAAATTATGTGGGTCGAATTTTTTTTATTGTCGGTGTGTTGGTTTCTTCTTTTTGATTTTAAATTAGATTTATTTCGTCAATATAGTCCTCAAAATCGTCCTCTTCTTCATCATCTATGATCGGTTGCTGATTTAAACACGAACCTCCTTGACAATGCTTGCATATAACTGAACATAACAATCCTGCTTTTCGACAGCTACAATTTTGTTCACATGTTTTTGTGCAGGCACAACTAATAACATTCAAAAGAGTATCTGGCGCTGGTGACTTTTTCGTGAAAACTGGATTTAGTTTACCATTATATTCTTTCCAGCCCCAATTCTGTGGATCTAACTTATTGCCACGCCACAACTGTATTTGCAAATAAACTCGATGTAAATGTTCTCTTGCCGCATCGATAGTAAGTGGAAGTCTAGCTAGTTGAACTTGTTTTTTGTTAGAGGCTGCGGTTTTTTGAAAACCATCATGTCTTAATTTATTCAAAGACGTAATGTGAGCTGGAGCTTTATATAATGTTAAAAGATATTTTTCTCCAGCACGTTCAATTTCTTCCGGCGATGAAGATTCATTATTAAATATTAATAATGAATCGTGTAATTCTGGGTGTTTTTGAATTATTTTCAGGTGTTTTATTTTACCTTGTTGAAATAATGCCGAAGTAGTATCACATCCACCAATTGCATGGATAAACATAAAATATTGAATCTCATTTTTAAAATGTTCCTGTAGACTTTCAACATTATAAGATCTTGTTTCTATTTTTTCTCTACCCGGTTTTTCAAATATCATTGTGTTTTTTGGAGGACTTAATGTTAATAACAGTATAAGTAAATCAATATCCTCTCCTATGACCACTACTTGGATATTATCGTCGGTGTTTCGTATAGCTGTATTGACAATAAGTAAATCTGCGTCATCTTCGGCTTGGCGAACAAGAATGCCCGAAGTTAAAAACTTTTCGGTCAACATTGTGATAAGCCTCATTTTATTCTCAGTATTGGATAAAAATTTTTTTGGGTAGTTAGTAGTCCGGAAAAGGGCTATGTATGTTTAACCAATTTGAAAGTATACCGATATGTTTATTATCGATTTTCATGCGAGAATCACGTTGATCAACATGTTGCTCTGACGTAAAATGAAATGTATTTGTAAATTGTTCAATTTGGTCGGTTATTGTACTTGCAACTGGAGTGTCTCAAAAACATAAACATCGGTRTATGAAGCACAAAATCCAAAGTTTGAAAAAATATCTATAGCACGTTTTGTACCAAAATGTCTGTGCAAATAAAGACCAAGTCCCAATAGAATCGATGAAATGAACGAGCGAGGCCTACAACAATTTATTATGGCATGCGCCAAAGCCACAAATTTATTATCATATTTTCTTTTTCTGTTTTATAAGAACTATTTGTAATAACTGCAGTTTTTCCTTTTCTTATATTCCGTGTACTTTTACTGGTGGCATAAAAATTTTTATTTCTCCAAGAGTCGGGGCTATTCCAAACCATTCTCTTTCTAGTAAAAAGGCTGGTGGTAGAATTGTGTTACATTATATTCACCGAATATGACAGCATATATTTATTGTGAAATTTAAAAAACGCAACAGAATTTTCGACCGTCTGGTCAGAATAAGAAATGAGTATTCCATTATCTATCACATATTCAGCGACCCAATATATGACAACCATAAATAAATCGTCGAAAGTAATGCACAACTCTGAAGGAATCTCCTTGTCTCTTTTATAAAACCTTCCCAACAAATCGTATATGTCAAGCTTAGTGAAAGCAGCTTTGTGTTTATTTTTAGCCATAGTTGGTAATATATTAGTAAATCAGGTAAAAAAAACGCTGTGCTTTTTTGAAGTATCTATTTCTTTTAAATTATAGTTATTGGTTATTGTATACAACCACATACACGCAGTCTCTCTGTTTTTCATTAAAATGTTATAGGTATGTGGAAAATATATATTGTGAAGCTTTAAATCTAAAAATAAACCACCCAACGCTTCAACCAGATCACCGTCAAGTATTGTGAGTGTTGATGATGAAATGATGGGTACAATATATTGTTTTATATAAATTAAAGACATTGCTGTTATGTGTACCTTATCATTTTTAACCTGTAGATTATATGAGATAAGCAATTTTTTTACTCTCTTCACAGTTCAACATAATTTTTTTAATCTTGCGTACCTAACTGCCAGTAAGCCAGAAATCGAAAACTAACTACTAAAAAACCAACAATACTTTGAGGAGCTGTATTTCACTAACCCATTAACGAAAAATGAATATGTTAACACGTAAATTCATGAAAAAAATTGTTTTATTAATTCATGGTATTTTAATTATATTTTACCAATCGGGATAAACATTAAATATTTGTTGTTTTGTAACCGTAAAATCTAAATAATCTGCTGACTGAACATGCTCAATGATTTTAGAAGAATCATCTTTGATACGTGGTGTATAAAATGTAATACCCGAAGACGCTGCGTCTCTGTTATACTTAAATATCTTAAATTCTACCCTATAATAATCGTCATTTAAATAACTAATACTTCAAATTATATCGTCACGATGGTAAAACATAAATCCTAATGGTATATTATGAATGTTAACCCTACAATGCATGATTTTTTTTTTTTTAAATTTTTTTTTTTAATTGTTTCTTTATGTATCTCTTAATTAGAGAAAATTAAAGAAAAAATTTTTTTGAAATTTTTAGTCCCCCAAAATAAGTAATTTAAGTTTGTTGCCTGTGAGCAACACTATGCATTCAGGGTTCTCTACGATTAATGAAA